TGTGTGAGTGTGTGTGTGTGTGTGTGTGTGTGTGTGTGTGTGTGTGTGTGTGTGTGTGTGTGCTCGAGATTGAACCTGGAGTTCACAGTTTCAGCTAGGCTGGCTGACCAGCCAGGTCCGACAGTTCCTCCTGATCTCTGCCTCCCTAGTGGTGAGATTATAGATACACACCACTATAACCGGATTTTATGTGGGTGTTGGGGGTCCTCGTGCTTGTGTAGTGAGAACTTTACAGCTGAGCCATCTCTTCAAGCCCCTGCAGCCAGTATTTGGTTCTGAGCCATCTCTTCAGCCCCTTCAGCCAGTACTTGGTTCAAGAGAGGTGAACAAGAATGAATGTTTGGAGAAGGGAAATTCATTAATCTCCTGTAGAAAATGGTGAATCTGCTCAATGGAGAGAGAAATCAGTCTCTCAGATGGAGGCAGCTCCAGTGCAGCTCCAGTGCAGCTCCAGTGCAGCTCCAGTGCAGCTAGGGGTCAGATGAGTTGGGATTTTAGTAACTAGGAGCTGCTCATGGCATCACAAAGCCCAAGTTTACTTGTCTACAAAAATGGAAAAATACTCGAGACTCAAGATGGGTGTGAGACACAGTGAGGTGTCACCTGGGACCGTTTGTGCTGTTAGAAGCCTGCTGGGTAGACATGGGTGGACAGAACATTTCCAGGTGGCTTTCCTGAAAACAGCTCCCTTCTTATCTCTTCTCCCAGTTTCTGCTTTTTCCCTGATTTCTTCACAGCAGGTTTCACACCAGAAGCAAGCTTCTGCTCTGCTCTCAGACCCACAGTTTCCTGAGCACAGACTGCCAGCTGTCTAGGAATTTAGCAGAGTCACTCTGTTTTGTTTTTTTGTTTTTTTTTAAAGAAGTACTTTGACCTTGAAGTAACCTTGTGGAAAATAGTGATTGTTTTGCTGAAGGGGCTCTGCAGCCTTCCCATGACATTGGTCACAAGATGTCTCAGGCACACCTGAGGCTCTTGTATTATTGTGTATTGCAAACCGTATATGATAAAGGACTAAAGTCCTGGGGGCGTGTGATGCTCTCCTTCAGTAAGACATGTAAATTAGATTAGGGACCTTGGTATGAGGAAATACTTTGTGTAATACTTAATAAACACGCCTTTGCAAGGCTGTTGTTTGAGGTTCAGTCCATCAGACCTTCCTGCTACCACATAGACCTTGAAATTTCATCTTGGAGTGCCTTCTTTCTTCAAAAGACCTGTATTACACGGTGCACCCTGACAGCCAGTCTCCCAGCCCTGCCACTGCCCAGAAGGTCTGATCCAAGCAGGCACTCCATTAGTAGCTTCGGAGTAGATAGTTAAGCTAAAAAACTCACCATCTGGTCTCAATGGTCAGGGCAGCATTTTGGTCAAACAGCAATGACTCAAACTTGTTTCAGATAAGATTCTTGGGTTCAGGTGTGGTAGCTCCCAATACTTGGGCACCTGAAGCAGCAGGATTTCGGGGTCAAGGGCAGCATGAAGTATATAGTGAGACACTGTCTCAAAAACCAAACAAACCACAAATCCGGGGGTGTAACGTCATTGGTACAGGGCACACATGTAATCTCAGCATTCTGGAGATAGAGGCAAGAGGATTAGAAGTTCAGAGTCAGCCGGGCATTGGTGGCGCACGCCTTTAATCCCAGCACTCAGGAGGCAGAGGCAGGTGGATCTCTGTGAGTTGGAGGCCAATCTGGTCTCCAAAGAGAGTGCCAGGATAGGCTCCAAAACTACACAGAGAAACCCTGTCTCGAAAAAAACCAAATAAAATAAAATGAAATAAACCAAAAAAAAAAAAAAGTTCAGGGTCCTAATTGGTTCGTTGATATTTTAAACGAGTGCCCAGTTGACACTGTTGCTCTCGCTCATTCTGGATCTGATCAGGCTTAGTTTGACTTCAACCTGCCACTTCAACCTGTGTATGATCTTGCAAAGACCTCTGCCCTGCTCAGAGCCTAGAGGAGTTGGCCCCCATCATCATCATTTGACAGGGTCTCACTGTGTGTCCTGGAACTCATTATGTAGACCAGACTAGGCTCTAATTCACAGCGCTCCATCTGCCTCTCCCTCGTGAGCACTGGGATTAAGTGTGTGCACCACCACATCCTACTATCATTATTTATTATTCTGCCCGAACAGATATTCCCGGCCCACAAGACAGTCACTTTTGGAAACTTCTCAAAGTGGGGCCCCAGTGAATATGGTCTGGGAGCCAGTTGGAAATGCAGAATCCCTGCTCTGTTCCGGATTGGCTAAACTGAAACCTGTGCTTTTTCAAGCTCCCAAGCTGATTTCTTTGCATATTCAAGTTTGAAAAACATGTTTCCAATTGGTGTCTGTTGTTTTCTTCTTGTCTTCCATTTCAGGAGTCTGTCAGGGAGGTTCAGTGACCCTGGCCTTCCTGAATCGCCAGGCAGCTGATTCTCTCCCCCTCTGAGTGTGAGGCAGAACCTTCAACAAACACGGTCTGGCACACCTCTGGCAACGCTCTTAAAGGCCCTGAACTCCTTTGGGGAGCTCTGCACAAGCAGCCGGGGAGACAGACAGGTGATGGATCTACCTCCTGTCTTGCTTTCTCCTCAGTCCCAGACGGGCTCCCACCTGGCAGAAACCTGCATGGAACGCGAGAGAAGCCCACCCACAGCAGAGCTGGCCAGGGACTCCTTTCCCAGTGATCAGGTGCCCAGCTCCAGCCTCACTGATACCGACTGGTTTGGGGATGAGCACATCCAGGCAAAGAGGGCCAGAGTAGAGACTATTGTCCGAGGCATGTGTCTCTCTCCTAGCCCCATGGTGCCAGGCAGTGCACGAGCTAAGGAGAGCTCATGCTGTCCAGAGATAGCCCGGGAGCGGAAGAGGAAGCAGAGCCTTCCCACACACCAGGGTCCCCTGAAATCAGGTCTTGGCTGGGATTGCGGGCCCAAGAAGGGGGAGACCCGGGTGAAAGAACAGCTCAATCTACTGAAGCAACAGCTAAGACATCTGCAGGAGCATGTCCTACAGGCCACTGAGCAGGGCCCAGGAGGTGCTGAACAGAGAAGCTCCCCAAGGGCAAAGCAGAGGAACAGCTTCCTGTCTAGTCCCTGGACCGTGGACAGCAAAGTCCACCAGCGTTCTAACAAGGACACCTGTGGGGCAGTAAAGCCCAGAACCGCTGAGGTTCATCAGCAGGCAGAGGAACCGGTGCTCCGTCCTTCTGGAGCACGGGCTTTAGTGGAGGCTCTAAGGAAAGAACTAAACAGGGCCGTGTCCCAGGCTGTGGACTCAGTATTACAACAGATGCTACTGGATCCGCCCGGACACCTCACCCGGCAGGAACTGAGCTGCCAGAGGCTAGCATCAGAGGGTAGAAACCACCCTTCACCTCCACAGAGAAGTGCCCATAAGGAACCGCTTGCTCTTGCTACCCTGCCTAGGAGGGTCCCCCCACAAGCGGGGGTTCCTTTGGGCAGTTCTTCACTGGCTACGCCTCTAGATCCTCCAATGTGTCCTGTCTCTCCAAGAGCAGTTCCCAAACCACATCAGAATCCCCTAACAAACTGTCCCCTGACAGCTGTGTCTTCCCACATCTGGGAAAATCAGATTCTTAGCCAGCTTCTGGGTCGTGGGCCTAATGGCCATTGGAGTGGCAGCCCTCAGCAGGACTCATCGTCCCAAAGTCACACCTCCGCAGAGTCTGCCCAGCAACCTTGGGTTTTGAGTCAGCAGCAGCTCCCGCTGTCTTTCACTTCTGTCCGCCTGGAAAGCCGGCCTCTCCTACCCTCTGTGAAGATGGAGCAGGGTGTGCTGCAGGGCGTGGCTGACATGATTCCTTTCTCTTCCATCCACATATCCTTTACTGGTCATTGATGCATCATGGTCACCACCCAGAGAAACCGGAAAAGTCAGAATTCGAGGAGGAAGTGAGGGATAAATATCTATGTTATACAGGAAATGTCCTGGAACTCACTATATACTCCAACTGGCCTTGGATCTTGGCAGTTCTCCTGCTACAGCTTCCAAAGAGGTGGGATTAAAAGAATGAGCTACCATGCCTGGTTTCTCAGGGTCTACTTAATAAGCTTTTGGCCTTTCTTCCTCATGCCTCAAGACCTATTAGCTTCATAACCAAGTGGAAACCATGTTCTAGGATTTAAATATGATAGGGAGGTTCATTGATTTTATGACCCAGATTCTGCCATAACTGATTTGTACCTTTGTACAAATCTGATGTGGGTTTTTTTTTTTTTAAAGATTTTATTATGTATACAATATTCTGCTTCCATGTATATCTGCACACCAGAAGAGGCCACCAGATCTCATAATGGATGGTTGTGAGCCACCATGTGGTTGCTGGGATTTGAACTTAGGACCAGTGGAAGAGCAGTCAGTACTCTTAACCTCTGAGCCATCTGTCCAGCCCCCCTGACGTGGTTTTGTTTGCATGCTTATAAGCTCAATTTTGGACTCCCAAAACTAAGAGAAATGCCCCCATGGAAGGAAGAACACTATATAATTGGGCTACCAGCTGCCATTCTCCCAGGCAGAGTGTGTCAAAGGAGTAACCTCATCTGAGGTATGGCCTCCCCAAACTTCCTAGTCCTAAACTCAGAAGGTCTGCACAGCCCAGATAGTGACACATAAGGGACCAAGAACTAAAGGGTGAAAGGGTAGTTTCCCTCAGAGAATCAACCCCTCAGAAGCAGCTGGAAGGATGAGAAGCCTTCAGCTTAAGAGAAAGCTGTCACTTCTGTCCCAGCACTTGGGACAAAGACGCAGGCAGATCTCTGAGTTCAAAGCCAGCTTGGTCTACAGAGTGAGTTCCAGGACAGGCAGGGAGGGCTACACAGAGAAAATCCCTGTCTTGAGAGAAAAAGACACTTCCCACCCCATGGAGAAGCCCAAGCCAATCAAGCTGACCTGCAGCAATCTGGATCTTACTGTATTATATTTATGATTATTAGGAAAGCCCCCCTTCTTTTGTTTTGTTTTGTTTTTGGAAGACAGTGTTTCTCAGTGTAGCTTTGTGTATCCTAGAACTCACTCTGTAGACCAGGCTGGCCTCCAAATAAAAGCTTCATACCTGCCTCTGCCTCCAGAGTGCTGAGATTTTCTGCCCAGCTGAAAGTTGTTAAATTAGAAGAAAATGTAGCTTGGGTAACTACTTGATTTGATTTGTTTTGTTTCCTTCCTTCCTCCCCCCCCCTTTCTTTTTCTCTGTGTAGCTCCTGGTTAGTTTCTTAACTGTGTGATTTCCCAGAGCTTTTACTATGCTCAAGTCAGATGTGAAGCTTTAAGAGAGTAAAGGCTGCCCAAACTCTTAGGGCTTAGAACCTTTTCCAGCAAGCATCTTGGAGGACCAGTGTACCAGAAAGCAGATTTCGGATGTTGCTTTTCTTAGCAAGCTGTGGGCTTTTCTTAGCAACTGACCCACTGACAGTTACTGGGTCTGAAGCCTTACGTTCAGGTGTGAACAATCCTGTTTGCCTGGTGGCTTCAAGGCTTTAAGCCCCGGGAGGGCCAGCGCCAACCCTTGTTTCTTAAATGCTATGAGCGCCCCCTGCTGGTCTGTAGTAGTAGAAACACCCCAAAGCTCACTGGAAGGCAGAGAAACACTAAAGCAATGCTGAGAAACATTTTAGTCTCCACCACTCCCTCTTTGGGTAATAAGGATATCTTTATCCAGACTAGAAATGGTAAATTCTACCTGCTGGGTCTTTTATAAGTTATCACTGGCTTAGACTCCATATTAAAAATCCTTTTTTTTTTTTTTTTGAGACAGGCTTTCTCTGTAGCTTTGGAGTCTGACCTGAAACTAACTCTGTAGATCAGGCTGGCCCGGAACTCACAGAGATGCACCTGCCTCTGCCTCCTGAGTGCTGGGATTAAAGGTGTGTGCCACCACCACCTTAAGAAGACTCATTTCTTGGGACTGGATAGTGTTTGCTTCTCAAGCATGGGGCCTGAGTTGTAATTTCCAGCATCCACATAAAAAAATCCAGGCAGGGCTGCAGGTGCCTGTAAGTCAATGGCAGAGACAGGTGGATCCTGCTTGAGAGCTTGCAGGCCAGCTGGCCTGGATGAAATGGTGAGCTTCTGGTTCAATGAGAGATCTTCAACCCCAACAGAAGACAGTCCTCAGTTCACTAATATTTTTAGGCACCTATATATGCTTGTCCCTGCCTGGGGATAAGAGGATGAGCTTTAGGTTTGGAGTCCTATCCCAGCAGTCCAGTTCTCTCTGCTGTCAAAGCACAGTGGATGTACTTTGCAATGTACAGCGTCCTGCCATCTTTTCCTCCAATTGTCTCCTCCCCTTGCTGCCTGTAGTATGCACTGTTGCTCTATATGACAACCACTCAAAGTAGGCTTCTTTAAAAGGAAGAAGTGTGCATAGCGCCATGCATCTCTAGCAGCCAGTCAGGGTAATACTGATTGGTAATAAGCGAAGGCTTTCTCTGTGGCAGGTAGATCACACAAACATGCCCACCATCACAGCGTGCCACATTCCAGACCCTCTATGGCCAATTAAATATTTTTTGGTGGCACAACTTACTGGAGGCTATTTTCTCCCATTCAGCCCCTGCTGCCCTATTAGCCCCCTTTGTTTATACTTCATGTGCACTGGTATTTTGTTGTGCATGTATGTCTGTATGATGGTGTTAGATTCCGTGCAACTGGAGTTACAGACAGGTGTGAGCTGCTGTGTAGGTGGTGGGAATTGAACCCTGGTCCTCTGGAAGAGCAGTCAGTGTTCTTAACTGTTAAGCCATCTCCCTAGCTCCACATTAACCCTTTTTAAAATAACTGAAATTCTGAACCCACAACTCCATTTGGCCCCACGTCTCACGTGAGCACTATGACTAGGATCAGGTATCAGGGAGGCAGGAGCAAAGGAGCAAACTAACTTGTTCAAGGTCAAAAAACAGGCAAGGGAGGATGCAGGATCCACACCCTGGATCTAAAGGCCAAACACAGGTTCTAACCACTGCACATTTTAGAAAGAACCCTCGGAGAAGGTAGGTCACTTGCCCCGGATCATACAGCTAATAGGTGGCCAAAACAGTACCCTAACTGATGATTTTGGGTTCCCAAATCCAGAATTATTTTCACAGCCCTTATGAAATAAGGGGGCAGGGGACAGGGCCTTCCACATAGATGAGTGGCCTGGGCTGTCTGTGTTCAGTGGATTTAGTTTCTTTTGGACAACCAGATTTTTTTTTTTTCTGTGATGCTGTCCTACAGCTACAAGGTTACTTGTGGGATGCTCCTTAGCAGCCTTAGGACTGTCCCTGCTGACTCTGGACTGCCATGTGTGCCAGAGGGCAGCACCACAGGACCCCTGCTATTATTTCAGAGAAGCAAATCTGTCTTCAGGGAGAGGGGTGGCTTGGAGTATAATTTCCCACATGTGTATCTAATGTTGACCATCCGTGTACTCCTTTAACATCCATTTCCTGAACATCTGCTATGTTCCTGGCACTGGGACGTGTGTGGGGAACGGAGACAATACCAAACCCTTACCCTCAGGGAGCTCACAGTCTCACTAGGGAAGACAACATTTCTAGTAAAAGTTGTAATAGAGGTTTGTACAGGGGTCTGTGAGCCCTGGCTGAGCAAGACCTAATTCTATAAGGAAAGGCACCATAAGAGACCAAGCTTCTGATATGCCCCTTAGCAGACAATGGGAAGTTCTGCCAGGTGCCAGGTGGGGCACAGATGTAGCCCAGGACACGGACTTGTCGACAGAGAAGAGCGTGGTGGGAGCTGATACTTTGCCTGACTAGCCAGGAGACCACTGAGGCGACTGCTGTCTTATTTTATAGGCAATTGAGGTAGAACAGAAGTCTCTACCCAAGGTTTCCAAGTGCTTTGTCTGTGGCAGAGCTGTCTTCTCCCATCCCATTCTGAAAAAGCACACAGGCTACAGGACACTGTACTGTACCATACAAGCCATGAGATGTGACTTTCACACACCAAGATGCTTGAGAATTGTGCAACTTAACGATGCAGATGGCTTCCAGTTTATCTGATCTGTTTCCAGAAAAGAAAAATACAGCAAATTCCCCATTCAGTCAAGAAAAAAAGAAAATTAAAACAGAAACCACAAAGAACAGGCAATCGTTACTTGGAAAAATCTGGCAGAATTATTTGATTAACTGGTTTATTATTATTATCTGGAGACAGGGTCTCATGAATCCCCAAGCTGGGTGACCTTGAACTTCTGATCCTCCTGTCACCACCTCCCAATTACTGGCGTTACAATTGTGCATCTATAACTTCATGGTTTTGTCTTAACAAAATCAGCTTCGTCTGGGTCACTTGGCCCTTTATTGACTCTCCAACCAAAATGCTCACATCTCTTAAGAGGCTAGCATTGGCTCGGCTCTGCAGGTAGGTTCAGCACAATCTTCTTGGTAGTTTTAGTAGAAGGGCTTAGGCTGCTTTCTCTCCCCCTCCCCCTGCAACACTATGCTTCCTTTCACAAAGGCTGCTTTCCCTGGGTAGATAGAGAATCCCTGCTTCTACAGTCCGGTGTCACTCTGTAGGACTTGTGCTTGCCACATGTCTTGGAGAAAGTCTGGTGAGTTTTACAAGTGTTTCCCATTGTTTGTGGACATGCCATCTGCACAGAAGGCAAGCTGGCGTTTTTAGATGCTCTTTTCCTTGACGCAAAGCACATCCAGGAAGGCCTAAGCCCTGGTCACTTGAAGAAGGCCAAACTCATGTTTTTCTTCACACGGTACCCCAGTTCCAGCCTCCTGAAAGCTTATTTCCCTGACGTTCAGGTAAAGTCACACATTGTGTTTTCAGCCTCTCTGTAACTCTCCAGTTACTGTGTGTTTTGCCCAGTGTAAGGCAAGTCCTAGGTCTTCATTGCCCTTCATGTTATTGATGGAACTGGTGCAGTTTCCAGTTCTGGAACTGTCTGGAAAGAACATGGCTCTCCTTATACTATGAAAAGGTGGGTTCCAGAATGCTTATGCCTTTGAGCAGTAGATAACCCCAGAAGCACATGGCGAGTTTAGGGGAGGAAAATGATAGTATTGAGTGGACTCTTTGGTCTAGGAATTACTCTTTGGTGGGGACATTATGAGAAAGAAGTCTAGTCCATAAACTCTATTTTCTAGTGAGTGGAGGAGTTTTGAGCCTAACTGCACAGAGTTGCCAGCACCTGTGGCTCCCTTTTCTGAAGGAGAAATGGTTGGTGGTTGAAGCCATTCACTTTAATCCCATGTGGAACTGGACACTGACAATTCTGATTGTGAGCACCCCATGACAAATGTCTGACTTGATGAACTTCTTGTTCACACAGTTCAACCGCTGCATCACCTCCCAGATGATCAAGTGGTTCAGCAACTTCCGGGAGTTTTATTACATCCAGATGGAGAAGTACGCACGGCAAGCAATTTCAGATGGTGTCACAAACCCCAAAATGCTGACGGTTCTCCGTGACTCAGAGATTTTTCGAGTTCTCAATGCACACTATAACAAGGGGAATGACTTTGAGGTAAGATGAGATTTGAGATGTGTTTTCTCTGAATGGTTGGCTCTCAGAAAACATGCCCCCTGTGTCCTTAAGTCACTTAGAATTACAGCAGTCAGAGAGCAATGTCTGCATCACTAACCAAGATTACAGCCTCCTAATCTTCCTCCAAGCAACAGGTGGATAAAGCAAATACAGCCAGCCTGATCAAATCCTGGTTGGCCAGGATTTTACCATCCTGGACTTACTACTATGTAATTACCAAGTTACAGAGACTGTTGGCTTTTTGACCTCCATGCCATGCAGTGTAGCACCAAATGCTGGGCTCCGTTGTAGCATCTACTTTTCACCTGGGTTTTCTAACAATTTCTGCTCTTACTAACACATGGCTCTTGAATTCTCTCAGTTCTATATGTGTGGCAAATTCAAATTCTTTCTGGACATAGCAAGGCTGAAGAATTCCAAACTCTTAGGGCCTCCATGAAGGTGCATGGTGGTGCCTTAGAGATGAAGTGTCAAGTGGTGTGGGTAGGCTCTTAGGTGGCTGGAAGCTGTTTGGCTGCCATCCTCCTCTTCAGGTGCCCAGTATGTCTGGTCACAGGTTGCATTTCTTTCTCCTTGCTTTCCTCACTGTGATCACAAGAGTTTATTGATTCCTTCAAGAGTGTAAAGTCTGCTGGTTTCCGTTTGCAAACTGAAGCCTATCTATGGGAGAGGAAAGGGTTAGAGACAGTGGGAGGTGGCAGCACCGTTCTACCCTTCCACGTAGGGATGGTCATTTGGTCGGCAGTGGCAGCAATTCCCCACAAAGGCTGCATCCGGAAGACATATGGGACTTCCTATCACCTATGGTGCCAGTTTGGGTGAAGGTCGAGGACCAGCCCCTTCAAATGGCTTTGAAAACAGGGATTTAAGCCCTTGGGGTCTGAGCCCTACAGGACGGTGGGATACGGAATGGCCGTCATAAGCTTGAGGGTGCTCTTTCTCACAACAGGTGCAGGGAAAAGAACACTATGACCTCTCATTTCCCTCCAATTCATTTCCTGTTTAGTTACTAAAACATGCCTAATTGGTGGAATGAGTAACTCCTGTAAGTCTCCAATACTTTGCTCCCAAGACTGTCTCCCTAGAAGATCATCTAAGGTCTGTGTTTCACAAGGGAACAGGGCAGTCTTGGGCTGCAGAACCTGGGGCGGCAAAGCAGGGATACTCTGAGCCAGCAGCAGGCATCATTGCCAGAGGGCTTGCCCTGGTGCCAGCACTTCCAGCCTCATTTCTTCCTTTTCTTGGGGATATCTTTGGGGCTGCAGGTCCCAGACTGCTTCTTGGAAATTGCCACCTTGACATTACAGGAGTTCTTCAGGGCTGTCTCCGCAGGGAAAGACACAGATCCTTCCTGGAAGAAACCCATTTACAAAATTATTTCAAAACTGGACAGTGACATCCCAGAGATACTCAAATCTTCCAACTATCCCCAAGAACTGTTTCGAAATTAAGAGAAAAAAACGAGGTCAAGTACAATGTCCTGTTATTCCAATACTTGGGAGGTGGAGACAGGAGGATCAGGAATTGGGCAGCCTTGGCTACACAGACAGATGATCAAACAAAATGAGTAGACTGGCCCAGGATGGCAGTCTAGCTGTAGTCATGTAAGAGGGAACAAGACGACCCTCTCCCATGCATAGAATTTGTTCAGAATCATCAGAGACTTAACCTTAACCACACGGTATCAACTAAGCCCATGTTGGTAGTATACCGGCAAAGAAACTCAAGTTTGGCATCAGAAGACTTAAAAGTCAATGCCACTGTCATCAAGTGCTGTGACGCTGATAATTTCCTGGTATTTCTGCAACTCTAAAAGGAGATTCAGCCAGGCAGTGGTGGCACACACCTTTAATCTCAGCACCTGGGAGGTAGAGGCAGGTGGATCTCTGAGTTTGAGGCTATCTTGGTCTACAGAGAGAGTTCCAGGCTAGCCAGGGCTACACAGAGAAACCCTGCCTTGAAAAACCAAATAAATAAAACCAAGAAATTTTGAACCATGGGTAACTCATTGATCCTTCTGCCAGCGAACTGGGTTAGTCAGGAGTGTGGAGGAACCAATGACCATGTAAGCTGGACTTGTGCTGGATCACTCATGCTGTCACTCAGGATCTCAAACAGGAAGAAGTCATACCAACAGGGCACCCGCAAAGTGGCATTGCCATCTGACAACTGTGGCACTCAGGAGTGCTTCATTATCCAAGACTTTCCCTGATGGCTTCAGCAAACCCAGCACAAACTTCCCAAGGGACCTTGGCATTGCTGTTGTTTGCATATGTCTGCCCAGACAGTAAGTCAGCAGACAATCCTAACAGTCCTACTTGACCTATGTAACAATGTCCCAGCTGCCTATGCACATAAAAAAAAAAAAAAAAAAAAAAAAGGAACTTCATGATGAGAAAGCCAGAAAGGGCCCTTGCGGATCATCTAGTCCATCATGTTTAACTCATGGAAGAAACTGAGGTGAACACAGGCTGCATAGAACCTCACAGGCCATGAATGGCATGGTTTGGACAAATGAAGAAATGGAGATTTTCCTACTCCAAAATGATTACAGTCCATGACAAAACTCCCACAGATGAACAAATAACATCCATATTTTTCTCTATGGGTCTAACACAATTGTGAGACTCTGGGTGTCTAGGCAAGGCACCGATAAAGCTGAACCCATCGAGTAAGCACTGCTGAAGGTGGGCAGGGTGGAGTATACTTCAGGTCTCATAGTGCTGAATAAGGGGCAACTGTGCCTAAGTAGCTCCCTTCCCTGCCATCAATACAGAACAAACTTCCTCACCTAGCTAGCTACTCTAGCTTCATGACTTTATGGACATGGTGCTGGCTACTGCTAGACATGTCAGAATGCAGTGGTATGAACAATGACTTTCCTCTGAATTTTCTGTTCGAATAGTGGAGAGGGGCTGGAGAGATGGCTCAGAGGTTTAGAGCACCCACTGCTCTTCCAGAGGTCCTGAGTTCAATCCCCAGCAACCACATGGTGGCTCACAACCATCTGTAATGAGATCTGGTGCCCTCTTCGGGTGTGCAGATATACACGGAAACAATGTTGTATACATAATAAATCAATAAAATCTTAAAAAAAATAGTGGAGAGAAGAAACAAAATATACCTAACCAAAATTAGCCCTTACAGACTCCTGCAGGTTTCGGGTGTTTGTTTTCCTGGATATTGAACCTAGGGCTTCCTTCCCTCTTGCTAAGCACATGCTCTGCCATTGAACCCCAGGCCCTGCTGAGAACTTTGTGATTGTGGTCTTTCGAGACAGGGTCTATGCAGTCCTGGCTGTCCTTGACCTCCCAGAGAACTGCCTGCCTCTGCCTCCAGAGTGCTGGGATAAATGGTGTGCGCCACCACAGCTGGCAAGTCTTAATTGCAATGCCCCTCAATATAATTATAGACAGCCACTTCTCTAGTTTCTTACTGATTTCACAAGGCTCCCCTTGATCAAAATCAAGGACTTTGCCAAACCTGCTTGAACATCAGCAAGCCCTGAAGACTGTGCAAGCGCATCAGTTGTTTGGAAACAGAATGGCCCTCTCTCTAGAGCAGTATCACAAGGCCATTAAGACATTCATAGCAAACAACTCCAAGTCCATATGCTTGTCCCCTGTCCCAAACCCCAAACCTCAACTTCATTAGTCTATGTCTTTAAAACTTGAGTCAAGCCATCTCTGGGGCAATGAACTTTATCCTGAATACTAATTAGATGAAAACCATGCTAGCTCAAATTGGAAACATTTGTGTACTGCAGTCGGTCATGCCAGAAAGTCTTCTCTATCCACTGAGATCGACACAGAAGAATGTATAAATATGTATGCTCTGCCAGCTAAAGAATTCTTAGTCCAGTTTTCTGTTTCTGTCAAGTGTGTTTTTGTCAGTGTTTGGAGCTTACTATTGTCAGTGTGAGCTGAGCCAGTTATGTTCTTTCAGCAGTCCTAACATTGCCAACCGTCTGGTCATTTTTTCCATTAAGGTATATGTGGGTGCTGATCTGTCCCCAGTCAGACATACTCAGAGTCTGGTCAAGGGCTGCACAATCCTTCAATGGCAGACAACAGGCATGGGCTGTGGGGTGTGCTAAATTATCTATTAAAAGCAGGAGGTTCTCTGGCATTCTACATATAACAGGTACATTAGGGACCTTCTTGTTTATGCTGGGGCAAGTGTATGGAGTCCTGGTTGTCTAGAGTAAGCCATATAGAACAAGCTGGCCTCAAATGTGCAAGGATTCTCCTGCCTCTCTGGGTGGGGGTTATAGGCATGCACCACCCTGCCTTTATTTCACCATCAGAGCCTTTATTTCAAACTTTTTCATATAAAAACTCCAGACCAGCAGGGAGGTGGTGGCACACGCCTTTAGTTCCAGAACTTGGGAGGCAGAAGCAGGTGGAAGAGGCAGAACTCACTCTATGTGAGTTCAAGACCAACCTTGTCTACAAGAGCTAGTTCCAGGGCAGCCTCCAAAGCTACAGAGAAACCCTGTCTCGAAAAACCAAAACCAACAACAAAATACCAGACCAGATTCAAACAGTAGGAAGCCAATGGCACCTCCTGGGCATACAAGTGCCTGAATAATATTTATTTTTCATCACAGTAAGGGCAGAACATAAATGGCAGAGATAAAACAATATTCTTTAATAAAGGTCTATACCCTGGCTCTACTATGGACATGCTATTTCCAGAAAGGGTCTTATTGTGTAGCCCTGGCTAGCCTGGAACTCACTATTTAATGCCTCCCAAGTGCTGGGATTAAAGGTGTGCACTCTGTGCTTAGCTTGGAAGGGTCTCAGGGATGAAGACAGTTCAATTGAAATGTGCTTGTCCAGGTGCCAGCACAGGTCGCACATACCTGGAAATCCCAGCACTTGGGAATCAGGAGGATCGTAAATTCAAGACCACTCTTGGCTGCATAGTAAGCTGGAGGTCAGTCTTTTTAAGTTCCAGACCAGCCTGAGCTATGTAAGTTCTTGTTTCCAGCCGGGCAGTGGTGGCACACACCTTTATTCCCAGCACTCGGGAGGCAGACGCAGGCAAATCTCTGTGAGTTGGAGGCCAGCCTGAATGAATTCCAGGACAGACTCTCAAGCCACAGAGAAAGCCTGTCTCAAAAAAAAAACAATCAACCAATAACAAAAAAAAAAAAAAAAAGGAAAAAGAAAAAGAAAGATCTTGTCTCTAAAATAAATAAAGTCCAACTAACTGAAATTTCAGTGGTTTCCTGAATAGTCAGTCCCATACAGTCTGAATTCATAATGATCCATTCTAGTTCCCACCCCCTTTGAGGTGTGACTTCTTGTTCTGTAAGGCATATCAAAGTTCGGTGATATATAAATCCCAAACAAAATTTAAAAATCTATTGATGTTTTCATATAAACTATCAAGCATTTGCATAGATTTCACTTACTGCGACATTATTTCTCAACACTGAGAAGGTAAGAACTGTGGGAACTGTAGCGATGGGGCAGCGATACAGGCACTGTGTAAGCCAGTGCCCCACCAGGCGGGTGGAACTATCTATGCACATCCACATTAAAAGGCGCTCGCTGATTCTTTACACCCTGCTCCCTTTCTCTCTCCGGTATTTTTAGGGGAGGTTTCAGGGGCTGAACCCAGGGCATCTCATAAGCATATACCCCACCATTGAGCTACCCCCCCCTGCAAATTCTCTGCAGTTCCTAACTGCTTTTGGAGTTAATGCTTAGGGAAAGCTTACAACATGGCAAATATGGTTATTTCTTACAGAAATACAATACTGTCAATCAGATATACCGTAAGTCACAGGCCCAAATCCAATGAGCTGCCACGATCTACACTAGTAATACATGCTATGTAGTCTGTCCTAGTTTCTTTTCCTGTTGCTGTAATAAAATACCTTCACAAACACAATGTAAGGGGGAAGGATTTATTCTGGCTCACAGTTCAAGGGTACAGTCCACCGTAGCTGGCAAGTCAAGGCAGCAGGAGCTTGAGGCAGTTGGTCACATCCCATCCACAACAGGAAGCAGAGAGTGATGAAATGCTAGGACTCAGCTCTGTCTCTCCATTGAACAGTCCTGGGATCCCTGCCCAGGGATTGGTGCAGTCCAAATTAAGATGAATCTTCACAGAAATTCACAGAGGCTCACCTCAGTCTAGATAATCTCTCATGTGTCTGCCCAAAGCTGTCTCCTAGGTGATGCTGGATCCAGTCAAGGTGACAACCAAGACTAAACATCGTATTCCCTGCAGTAGATCTGGGCACCTGAACATACATACATACATACATACATACATACATACATACATATTGCTCACCTACAGAAGTGTTTTCCAGGGTTAGATAATGTATACATTATATGACACACACCTGAATATACAAGTGCTTAGAACAGCGGTTCTCAACTTGTGGATGACCACCCCTTTCATGGGGGTGGCCTAAGACCATTCTGCATATCAGACATTTACATTACTATTCTTAACGGTAGCAAACTGTTCTGAAGTTATGAAGTACCAACAAAAATAATTTTATAATTGGGGGTCACTACAACATGAGGAACTAAAGGATTGCAACATTAGGAAGGTTGAGAATCACTGGCCTGGAAGTTGAAATTCTCAGTCATAAAACAAACAACTACACACAGATGTTGGCCTCTGGGGAAGGAAGTGTCCAAGGAAGGTAGAAAGGAAACACAGGTAGAGGTATAGATTCCCCCAAGCCTCACGGGCTTTAGAGGCCCATCTACAGACCTTCCCCCATTATCTGGCTTCTTGGCGCCCACAACTATTTTGCCGTGTCCAAATGCTTGTTGCTCTTAAATACATGTTCTTTCTTTTGGAAACAAGTATTTTCTCCTCCTGTCTCCTGGCCTCTGTGGCTCACTCCTCTCTTCAGATTTATTTCTGACTTATACAAGAACCTATCTCTCCCATTGCCATCCACTTTCCTTCTCAGGGGTATGACTTCATGTTGTTCCTTCTTTCATTTTCTCACTCACCCAGTCTCTCCTTGGAAGACTGTGCTCGGGTACCTACCAACCACACAGCCTTGTATGGGTTACCTACTGTCTTGGCATCGGTTTTGCCATTTATAAAAGGCACCCATCTCCTAGTACTGCCTGCCTTAGGTTCGGGGAAAACACTGCACATGAAATATTTAGCACCTCAATGCATGGTGTGTTCCCAGTAAATGCTAGCGATGTTGTCATTAATCAGTGAGCAAAGTCACACGTTTGTGCTGCTTTCCAATGGCAAAGAAGTGAGTGGCATAAATATGTGGCAGCCCAGTGTTATTGTAACCATGATGTAACTATGATGTAACGTGTATTAATGTGTACTGTGTAGTGTAAAGCTTGGCTTCTAACAAATGTCAATTTAAGGGTGAAAAAA